GAACCGAGCATGAGGTCATGGATAGAGGGATGGGGACCTGAAGAACCAGTCCTCGCTTACCAAGAAAGGCCAATGTTAATACAAGCAAGGCTGGGAAAAAAAAAAAAACAAAAAACAGTAAAACAAAAGGATCTCCAATTTGGGCCACAGTTCTCGAATTAGAAGCAACAAACTGAGGAAGTTTATGTCAATTAATTAACCCCAGGGAACTGAGATCCTTGATCTTTTTAGAGAATATGACCAATGATGTACCATCTACACAGCAAGAATCAACCCCCAGCCTACCTGACCTCCCTGTGTGACCTGTGCTCCATCCCAAGCAGACCACTGGCTGCCCTCCAAACATAGCAGACTATCTAGGGTCCCCTCCTGCACTGACCCAGACCTGAAACACCCTTCATCCCCCTCAGCTCCACCTGCTGAAGCTTCCACTCCTGGGCCGCCCACCTCTACCAGCTGGCTTCCTGAGTCCCCCTCCTCCCTTGGCTGAAAGCATGCTCTCCTCCCTCCTCCTCCTTTTCCTCCTCCTCCTTTTCCTCCTCCTCCCATCTCCCCAGAGTATGGCAGCTAGAATCCAAGCACGAGCCCCCTCCCCTCCCCCCCATCATCTCTCAAGGAAGGAACTAGATCTTTTTGTTGTTATTGTCACTCCATCACCCAGTGGCTTTCAATTTGAAAAATTAACAAATAAAGCATTTACAAAGCCTGCGCTGGGAACAGAAATAGCAAGAATGAAATAATCGTGATTCTACAGAACAAGGGTTCTTAGCTTTTGTGTGTCATGGACTCCTCAGGCAGCCTATAGACCCCTTCTCAGAATAATAGTTATCTGGCTGGTTTGTTTAATTTGAAATTAAAGAAATGTTCCCTTTCAATTAGACGTTAGTGAAAACGAGAGGTCATTTTTTCCCCTTTAAGTTCACCGACTCCCAGGGTGCCTGGGACCTCTCTACTGGGCTAGGCCCTGGGGACACAGCCCCTACCCCAGGCAGCTGACACTCCCACAGGGGAAATTAGCAGGGACTTAATAAATGTCTGTTAAATTAAGGAACTGATACTACAGGCCAAGTCTTCCCTAAGACACAGGCACGGAACAGGAGGAAACCTTGGCCTACCATCTACCAGTTGCCTATGTTATGTTTCCCCTTCTCTTTCCTTAAGATTGAGGACCCAAAGGGGCTGAGAAGGCAGAGGCTCTTAGCATCCTGAACTTTTGGGGTGCACCTGGACCCAAGCAAGTGACAATTTGTAAAACCAAAGTTTTATTCTGATTTCTCCCCAGCATCACACACACCTCCCTCCCATGGGCACTCTGAGAACATGGACCACATTTTCAAAAGATCACGTGGTCAGAACATGGCCTAGGAAACACGAGGATGAAAGAGCTGCTGACCCCCGCCTTGCTTAATTGAGCCAGCTCTTCAATAGTGGGTCTTTCTGAAAGGGTCAAAGAGGGAGGCAGTGTGGTCCAGTGGGACAAGCTCTGACCATGGAGCCAGAGGACCTGGGTCTGTGTCCTCCTCTGGTGCTTAATCCCCATGTGACCTTAGCCAAAACACAGGACACAGTACCTTGATGGGCCTCAATTTTTTGATCTGTTAAATGACAGGGCTGGACGAGGTAACCTGTGAGGTCCCTGTTCATTGTAAATATCATGATTCTATGACACTCTCTTCAAAAATATTCATTACCCAAATACACAATGACTCACGTTCTTTCTCGACTGATCTAGATGGTCACAAGAGAAGTGAACAAAACCAGGGCATCTTTCCTTCAAATGAGTGAGTTAAATCATGAAAGTCCGACAAATCTTCGCATTCATCCCAGCACAACTGAAGGAACATCTAATTTGGAGTCTGAAAGCTTCCAGGGGGTTTGCCCCGACTGCCTGAAACGTGCCCTTGGGCAGGATTTAGCCTCCCGCTGGGGAGCCTAATCTGGATGTCCTCTGGGTCCTCTGATCCTATTACATTTACTGCTCATCCTCTCTTTTGGGTAGAGGGGGAGAGGGGGGAGGGAACAGGCAAGAAGTGAGGGAAGAAGAGAAACTACAGAGACATCTATTTAATAAGCATTGGAGGAGACAAAGTGTGCCTTGCTAGCAAAAGGGCACAGTGGATGTCACTTCCCCTGTCTGGGGCTCAGTCTTTTCATCTGGAAAATGACAGAGCTGCCCTGGAAGACCTAAAAGGGCCCTGCCAAATCTAAAAATCACCCCCAGAGATGGCGAGGAGCCTCACTTCCACACACACACCAGGTTTTCCAAGAAAGAAACCAAAAGCTCCAAACACTTCCCATACTCCTTTTCACATAACTGGAAACAGCCACACCGTGGGGAACACCAGGCAGATTGATGCTCTGAGCACCTGAGTTCGAATGATGCCTCTGTTGCTTAACACTTGCGTGGCCTTGGACAAGTCACTTTGCTTCTCTAGGCTCAGAGTTCTCATCTATAAAATGAGGAGATGGATAAGATATCCTCCAGGGTCCCTTCCACCAAGACAGTCCATTTGACTCCAAATCACTGGATACCAAAGTATCTAAAATCTCAACTGCTGGACACTCCAAGTCTGAAAGAAAGCCCGTGTGGGGTTTCCAGATGATGCCCCCCTCCCCATCTCTGAAACTCTAAGAAGGCCTTGGAACATCTGAGTCCCTGGGCCTCCCTCATCACAGTACGGAGGAAACGTGTGATGCTTCTGTTCAAGAATTACTGTCACTCCTAATTCAAAGTTACTTGGAAACCTTGCTTCCAAAGGCCACCACATGCTCTGTAAAACAGACCTCACTGGATTTTACTCTTCAATCACCCTGCACAGAGCTGCAACCACAAAGAAGCCCGTCGGTGCCATCAGCTTCCTCCGCTCCTCAAGAAGCCAACTCTTCACAAGGCAGGCCTGCCTGCCTGCCTGCCAGCCTTACCTCCCCCGACTGCCCAGGCAGAGCCAACACTTCCCTGTTGGAACCCTACAGGCCTACATACAGATAACCCTCTCCAGGTCCCTACCAAACTGGGGGGAGTGGGGAGGAAACCATTGTCTGTGTGGCACATTTGGTACTAAAATTCTGTTCCATATGGATCCTGCCACTTTCCTAAGTGGGAAAAGCTCAGAAAAACTTTGATCTTTTAGTCCAAAAACCAACCCTCTAATTGTCTAACTCAAGCTTCCAATAAACTGTTTTTTTCTATTTCCTCCAGTTCTCGAATTCTGGAGAACCAGACGACTGGGTTTCATAACCAGATCACCCAGGAGCCAATCCCGGGTCATCTGGTTCCCGGCTCTGGAACTAACCTCTCTTCACTGTCTTTGAAATGAGGAGGCTGCACCTCTGAGGCCCAAACCCATGGTCCTACTATGCAGGCCAGTCTACAACCAGGCCTCGAGCTACAAAGAAGAGTAGCCTCTGAGCAGGAAAAGGGGGCTCCAGGGCTGCCTCAGGCTCTGACCAATTGTACCACCTATGGGCAAACCAATTCACCTCTCCCTGACCCGGCAATTCCAAAGACTAGAAGCTCCAGGGAAGGGAGTTTCCCCATCAGGAGGTGTCAGTACGTGTGTGTC